TTACGCGTGTAGCAGGACAGAATTTGACGGAAATAAGGTTCTCTTTCCTACTTTTTTCTCATTCAATAATATACAGCTTTTTGCCAATCCTCCAAAGAAAAACCTGGCAGGTGACTTTCGTTGCAGCGCTCACCGCTTGGCTATCGCAAAAGCAGGTAGCCGTTCATGAAAGGAAGGAAAAGAGAACTGAGTGCTAATAAGGCTTAGAAACAAGTTGAGGTTCTGATGATGTTATCGGCGTACGGTCCGGGGTTAGATCCCATGAGGTGCGCGTCGGGGCCAACCAAGCCTTCCATCCCTCCGGGGTCGGTTAATTGGTACCAGACTTGTCTGGGAGGATAAAAACACTGACTTGAACATCGGCTGGCCCCGCAAGTCATTGTATAGGCCACATCGCATTCAAATGCCACTGCGAATGTGAAATGGAAGTAGAATGCGTGCCGCATCCCAAAACGGGATTGACCAATGCCGAATGCTTCACCTTTTACTCACATGTTGTAGTGTTTAGTGTGTTTGCATGGCAAAAACTAATAAGATTGTAAGTAATTTATTTAAATATAAATTAGTAATGTGGAGTTTATTTTTTTATTACAGTAACGTTGTAATTGAAGTGGACAACATTGCTTGGGCGTTTTCAATCACCTTTTCGATCGTTCTGAAACAGATACGTTTGAATTTGCTTCCTTATACAAAATTATGGAAGGATTGAAGAATTGTCACATGAAGTATCAACACAGTTTTAGTTTTTGGAGATCAGCATAGGAGTCTCACATTGAAAACCTTTTTCAGCGCTATAGCAAGATAGGGGGGCATCTTTTAAGACTAAGCCCAGAAACAGGTAGGAACGTCAAGAAATTAAAAAAAATCATCACGCAGTATGCAAACTCCCTTCTCCACCTGAAGCTTAGTTCCGTTTTTGACGAAAAGGAGATGTTGCGCGGTTCGAAATGCATTGCCACCACCATGCCCCGTATCTTGCGATAGCGCCCTTCTTTACCAAGTTTTGTCAGAAGGCATACTTTCAATCAGTACGGAATGGAAGGACGCCTTATGATACACTATTCGAGACTAGGGGAAGGAGTGGGTGGGGGGGGGGGAGACAAGGAAAGCTCCCTAGGAAAGTTAGGAAAGTAAGAAAAGTTTAAAAAGTAAATTTTGCAGTTTAGGAGCTATTTTATATTGGTTGGAAAGCTGCCAAAAACCCTCAGGATGGAGGGTTCTTTTCAGAATATGGACAAGGAACACCAGCGCATTTGCAACTTAGGGGCACCGAAACGAAGTCTAGCCTGGCGGCTGTGGATGGGAACGTTAGCCTTTCCACGCGTTGTTGGGTCCCGAATAAGGCATGCAAACCGGGCAATCCTCACAGTAAGAGTCTATTCTAGTGAGCGGATTCGCGGAAATACCGCTCAATGTATCCCAGTAAATGTGTTACTGAAAAAAGGGAGAAGCCGGGTTCGGTAAAACCGCGATCCTACACTACTTCCCGCCTGTGGGTTTCAAGCACCACCGGTGACCGGCGTGCCTCATGCTATCTCCACAGAAAGTTTTGACTCATGGGAACGGTGAAAGGATACCAGGCACTTCGATGAAGTTCTTTGAACGTTTGATACGAATATGGAGGCCAAAACTGCTATTTTAACTCCCTAATAAAGTTACGTATTCTCAAAGTTGTCAAAAAACGGTACTGAGCGATCTTGACTGGTGGAATCGCGGTTGCTTTTTTGCCTGGTTTCTTGTTGTATAAGGGAAATTGGGTGCCCTGATTACGAATTTGAGACTCTTTCGGCACAGAGCCACGGCGACTGTGATTTGATCAGGTGAACTCGCTCCAGTAATGTTTTTTTGCAAAACTTTGAATGCTCGTAACTTCCTTATAAAGTTCACGTAGCAGTTTCAGTGCCCATATTTGCAATCTGCGTAAAGGCTTTATGGATGCATCTAGGTTCCCTTTCAAAGTTCCATGGAAAGTTCAAAGCACTGCCTGCTTAGCCTCCTTAACAAGGTGGCTCTCATGCACCTGCGCGACATAGCGCGAGAAATTTTTCAAAGGGCGAGGTGGTGGGCGTGCCGCGGAGGGAGTTGCGCGGGTATGGCCCTGCTTAGGGCCCTAGGACACACTCTTCGCTGAGGAACGTATACTGTGCCGCAGTTTTAGGGGAGCCGTCCGCCTTTACACTAGCATTTCTCAACCTTAAACTTTATCGTGAAATCCTCCTTCGTCAACCTCCAACCGAAAATCGCGACTGGGATCCGCTACTTAGGCTACCCGAATGGACGGTTGTCTCAGCTTGTGAGAAAGCGAAGACTGCAGGATCCTGGACTCTTTCCTACTCTTAATTCCTCGATTCTTCACGAGGATCGATCGGCTAAGTTCAATTTTCTTTTATACTCAGGAAGCGAATGACATGGCTATCAGCCAAATTCAGAAAAATGTCATAGGAAACCTGATCAATTTTTTTGTCTAGCCTTCATCTCAACATCAAAGATACTCACTGAATTTAGATCTTCTGCCAAAAACCGGCTTTGTCCTTATTTCCACATCTTTAAAATCGTCTTTATCTCGGTGTGAATCAATATCAATTTGTGTGGTCACCATCACCTCTGCTGAAGGCTCTACTCCAACCTTTTTCGAGGGTTCCTTCACACTCTTCAACATTGATTTACTATTTGATGCGGCCGGGCTCGTCTCGCTGGTTTTCTTTCCAGAAGAAGGAGGTGGCGTTTCTTTCGAAGTTTTCGTCAATGATTCCTTATTAACTGGTGTTAGCGCTTCCTTACTGACTGGTGTAGCTGCTTCCTTACTAACCGGTGTAGCCGCTTCCTTGCTGACAGGTGTAGCTGCTTCTTTGCTGACTGGTGTATCAGCTTCCTTCTTCTTCTTTGAACTCTTCAACGAATCTGCCATTTTTGCTGGCTTCTTAGCCTTAGCCTCGGTTGTCACATCAATTTCGATCGTCGCTGTAGTTTTTCCTTCACTCATCTAAAAAGCCCCATTAGTGCCAACAGATAGTATCCTAATTTTCGTCAAAACCGAAATGTTGGGCATGCTCACCGCCTGTGATGTGTGGTCGTCTATGACATCAATAGTTTTCTCGGCATTCTCAGAAGCCAGCTTTTCCAGTTCAGCTAATATCTAGAAATTTTGTCATGAAGCATTGTGAAAAATGCTTTCATTTCGGAGTCTTAATGAAATCTAGAGGGTAAATGTGAATACAGTGCGTTTCATAAGTATAGACGCACCCCAAAATCTTACACGAATAGTTTCAAACGGATCCATAGGGTAACATAATGGCACTAGTAGGAATCATCGGAGAAATAGTCTCAGTTACAATACGTCTCGTAGTTATGAGAAATTTTTTCGAGGTATATTAGGCATCGACCCTGTTGCCCAACGTTTC